AGAGGCAAGATCTAAATACAAAAGGCAAAATACCAACGGAATATAATTGCGAGTCAACGACATCAAGATCACGGAGAGAAGGCTCGGGAGGCAAAGTTCGTTCGCGAGCTCGTTTCGCCCGCCAAAACTAAACTCCCTGTCCCGTATGTGACCAAAGAAGGAAAAGTATAAGATCCCGTATTCAAGCCGACTGTACCAGATGTCAGCGGAGTGTGACTGGAGGACAGAAGAAAAAAATGGCGGACGGTATGGAGGATCTTTCCTCGCCAAAAAAGCTAAAGAAGAGTAATTTGCTTGGACCTTTCAACCAGTATCTTTCTCAACCGGGATTAAAGATACCTCGAACAACCTTGAGACGTTGGCCGCAAAACCCGACGTCTACTGCTTTGCCCTCGGACGACCGCAGCACGGAGTTAATTGGGAGCAGCAGCTTTTCCATTGGGACTAGCGGAAATACTTGCAGAAGATGAACAAGAAGGCATCTAAGATTACCTTACGGCTTTCGATTCTGAGGACTGTGAGTGCTGGTAACGAAAAAACTGATGGGCAAGATAGGGGATCTGCATATGTGCCCTTATACAGTGGAGCGCCTATCACTGTGGGAGTCAGCAAGTTGTTAATTATTACGTTTGCCATTCGACACAGTCGATCTCCTGTTAGGAGAGAGAATTGCAGTAAATGTAATATTCCCCGTCACAAGCATCACAGCTTTGTGCATCTTGGTGGACTGTAAAAGTGGCCAGAGTATATATGTTTGTAAACTACCTAACAGGTATGAGAAGGATTAATATGATGACATACTATTTTAACTAGTAACGAGAACTCATTTAACCACAGTTAGAAGTTATAAGGGTTCATTTTCTTCGTCATTTCCAAGTGTGGTACTGTGCAAATAGAAAAGAAGTCAAAATAGTTTTAATAAACATGTATTTACAGTAGCTGCAACAACTCTTTGAAATGCTGTCTCGGAATAAATTATCACCTGTATACCCTTACTTTACACCAAATTTATATCACTGGTTTCGAAAAAAATAACTCTTGTTATTTGCTCTTTATGTCTGGTGTGTCAGAAGTTTCATCCAGAAAACCATCAAGAAAGATGTGCATGTTGCATATGCTTTTAAAAATAATTTAATCGTATTTGTTACATCAGCTGTAAACCACCTCTATTTGATACCCTGCTGTATAATGGTTAGTCCCTATCATAATTTGGGAAATGCTGGGGTGGAGTTCTAAAATTCAGTATGCATGCTTCCCATTTCATGTGTATAAGTTTTTGTTTATATGTTGCATCAGTTATGAAAAAACTTAAAAATACTCACATTCTGAAAGAAATGTGGTTCCTGTTGCTTCTCAACAATTGTGTTCTACTGATTTCAGATGTTGTTTGGAATAGCTTTTGAACATATATATCATAAATTATATTAATCTCAGTGCTGAAAGGATGTCAAGAGATTTAAGTTTGCAGAATTGCAGGCCAGATTGTCTGTGATTTTAAAAGTTTAAAAGTATACTTAAAGTATACTTTATTTTCTAGGCCGACCTTTTTGCAAATTGCAAGGTTTAGAAAAGTATAATTGAAGTATACTTTTTCAATTTAAGTATAAATAAAGTACATTTACGACAATTTGCTCAATATACTTCATTTATACTTTTTTTTGTTGAAGTCTAAATTAAGTATACTTCAAATGTACTTCATTTCTTTAAAGTACAGAAAAGTATACTTGAAGTATACTTTAAGTATACTGAAATTCTGCAAGGGTTTCAATATTACAAACAATGGATTTGAAAATGCACTATTTTCATATGCATTTCACACTATTGTTAATCCTAACTCTAACTTCTCAACAAATGCATGGGAAGTTTGAAACCACTCAAAGGATTGTGTTCAACCCGTCAGTCCTAAACATTTGCATCTTCGAGGGGTCTTCAATCCTTTCATTAATTCTTGGGGTCTTAATCCGTACCTTAAAAGAGTTGTAAAATTGTGAATCTGTGGTTTTTGTTCAAGGGTTTTGATTCATACCTTACAACCAGGGAAAATCAATGCCTTAAAGTCAAAGGTTTTAAATTTGTGCCTTCCCTTCAGGGGTTGTAAATTTGTACCTTACATTTAAAGGTTGTAAATTTCTACCTTATACTCAAGGGTTTTTACAATCAGGGTTACTTTTATGTCTTACATCCAGGGGTTCTTACATTCAGGGGTATTACATTCAAGGGTTCTTACATTCAGGGGTCTTACATGCAGGGGTCTTACATTCAGGGGTCTTACATTCAGGGGTCTTACATTCAGGGGTCTTACATTCAGGGGTCTTACATTCAGGGGTCTTACATTCGAGGGTTCTTACATGCATGGGTTCTTACAGTGGTATCCAGTCAAGTCGCGGACGGCTCACCTCGCCAACGCCAACTCGCCGACGTGTAAAATAGAGAAGAGACATCGGCGAGTTGGTCTTCAACCCAGAACAAACTATTAGAAGTTAAACATATAGAAAAGTTAACGATCTTTTGATAAAAAAAAAAATAAATAAAAAAAAAATTTCCCACAAAGTTTATAAGGATCTCAAGGCGAATAAAGCAAGATAAACATCGCCAATTACTATAACAGCTTCATATGTGAACTAGTTATTGTGTGACAATAACACCGTATAGACTCACCATGTCAATCGGTCACATTTGTTAAAGAAAACTTGAGATCCTTATAAACTTTGTTGGAAATAAAAAAAAATTGCTTTTTACTAAAGATCTTGTCTAGAAAGCTAAGTTTTCTTTTAAAAATCTGAACGATTGACATGATGAGTCTTTAGGGTGTTGTTGTCACAAAATGACTCATTCGCGTCTGAAGCTATTAGTAATTGGCGATGTTTATCTTGAGATCCTTATAAAGCTTTGTTGGAAATAACAAGAATTGCTTTTTACTAGAGATCTTTTATAGAAGGCCAAGTTTTATTTAAATAGTCTGACCGATTAACGTAATGGGTCTTTATGGTGTTGTTGTCACACAATAACTCGTTCGCGTCTGAAGCTTTTATTGTCATTGCCGATGTTAATCTTGTTTTATTCGCCTTGCGATCCCTATAAACTTTGTTGGAAATAAAAGGATTATTTTTTATTAAGATCTCGACCAGAAAGCCAAATTTTCTTGAAAAAATCTGACCGATTGAAATGATGAGTCTTTAAGCTGTTATAGTCACTGGTGATGTTTACCTTTCTTTGCTTGCCATGAGATCCTTATAAACCTTTCTGGAAGAAAAAAATTGCTCTTTTACCAAAGGTCGTTTACTTTTCTAAATGTTTGACTTCTAACAAGTTGTACTGGGTTGAAGACCAACTCGTCGACATCTCTGTCGGCGCATTGGCGAGTTGAACCGTCGGCGACTCGACCGTAATATTACTTACAGTCAGGGGTCTTACATTCAGGGATTCTTACAATCTGGGGTCTTACATTCAGGGGTTCTTACATTCAGGGGTTCTTACAATCAGGGGTTTTACATTCAGGGGTTCTTAAACTCAGGGATTCTTACAATCAGGGGTCTTACATTCAGGGGTTCTTACATTCAGGGGTTCTTACAATCAGGGGTCTTACATTCAGGGGTTCTTAAACTCAGGGGTTCTTACAATCAGGGGTCTTACGTTCAGGGGTCTTACATTCACGGGGTCTTACATTCAGGGGTCTTACATTCAGGGGTTCCTACATTCAGGGGTCTTACATTAAGAGGTTCTTACAATCAGCAGTTCTTACAATCAGGGCTCTTACATTCAGGTGTTCTTACAATCAGGGATCTTACATTCAGGGGTTCTTACATTCAGGGGTTCTTACAATCAGGGGTTTTACATTCAGGGGTTCTTAAACTCAGGGATTCTTACAATCAGGGGTCTTACATTCAGGGGTTCTTACATTCAGGGGTTCTTACAATCAGGGGTCTTACATTCAGGGGTTCTTAAACTCAGGGGTTCTTACAATCAGGGGTCTTACGTTCAGGGGTCTTACATTCACGGGGTCTTACATTCAGGGGTCTTACATTCAGGGGTTCCTACATTCAGGGGTCTTACATTAAGAGGTTCTTACAATCAGCAGTTCTTACAATCAGGGCTCTTACATTCAGGTGTTCTTACAATCAGGGATCTTACATTCAGGTGTTCTTACAATCAGGGGTCTTACATTCAGGGGTTCTTACAGTCAGGGATCTTACACTCAGGGGTTCTTAAATTCAGGGGTTCTTAAATTCAGGGGTTCTTACAGTAAGGGGTCTTACATTCAGGGGTTCTTACAGTCAGGGATCTTACACTCAGGGGTTCTTAAATTCAGGGGTTCTTAAATTCAGGGGTTCTTACAGTAAGGGGTCTTACATTCAGGGGTTCTTACAATCAGGGTCTTACATTTAGGGGCTCTTACAATCTGGGGTCTTACAAACAGGGGTTCTTAAAGTCAGGGGTCTTAAATTCAGGGGTCTTACTGTTAGGGGTCTTAAATTCAGGGGTTCTTAGACTCAGGGGTCTTACAATCAGGGGTCTTACATTCAGGGGTTCTTACATTCAGGAGCCTTACAATCAGGGGTCTTACATTCAAGAGTTCTTATAGTCAGGGATCTTACATTCATGGGTCTTACATTCAGGGGTCTTACATTCAGGGGTTCTTATATTTAGGGATCTTACATTCAGGGGTTCTTGTAATCAGGGGTTCTTACAATCAGGGGCCTTACATTCAGGGGTTTATATCAGTGTGTTTTATATGAAGTAATTTGCCCAGATGTTGATATTGATCGTTGTTCCTTACGTTCAGGGGTTATATCTGTGTGTCTTATACAAGGGGGCTGTGCCCAGATGTTGATATTGTTCGTTGTTTCTTACATCCATGGGTTTTAATCAATGTATCTTACATGATGGGCTTTAGGCAGATGCAGCTACTTATCTTAGAATCTTATGGTCAGGGGTCTGCGTTGATCGTAACTCTTTACATACATTGCGTATTCTGTGCCCAGATGTTGATATTGAACTTAAAATGTGACATCCGTGTTAAACCTGTGCCCAGTTTATTGCGATTGTAAAATGTTACATCTAGGGGTCTGCGCGCAGATATTGATATCGATCGTCGATCGTGAAGGTCAGAACCGTACCTGACATCCAGGGGTTTTATATTTGGACCTCTATATTGTCGCTACGTAGCGATGATGATTTACATAAGGGGGTTTTGAATTAAATGTTATGGTAGTTTTATATAAGGCTCTGCTCCCAGCTATTGATAATGATCCTCTTGACCTTTCTGTTTTTCTATCTCTCGTTTTTCCAATTTTTTTTTTGCCATACAAGAGAACTCAAGTAACCCGTTATACTTATTTCTTTGATGTAAGAAATCTAAGCAGATTATACTAGGGTGAGGCCGACTTACTCTCCATTCTATAAACTACAAGGCTTCGCCCATCCCCCAGACCAACTACGAGACTTAAATTGGATTTCAAAAATCTGTTTTGAGAGGCAGATAGCACCAGATCATTTTAGAATTAGTTTCTGACTCCTTTGAACTCGTTGTATTTTTTATACTACATCTACATTTTTCTTAGTCACATTCGGTTGGCAGGTCCATTTCTTTTGATGATTTCCTTCTCACTGCACCAAGATGTACCCCATGGCTTTGGTGTGTTTTTCTCCGTTATCTGATTTGTGGTTAGCTTCGTTTCCACACGTGTTGGAGCCCTCAGGAAGCCCTCCTGTACCAAAGCCAATTCTGGAATTACAGCTTCTGCATTCGTTTTCGCTGTTAGCAATGATGCCAATTCTTGCTTTAGAGTACCGGGTGTCACCATGGACATTGAACCCTTCCTTGTCACAAAGATGCTGTAAGGAGACGTTTTTTCCAATCAGCGTCTTCCACGTGTTTTTACCCAGTAATGTATTGCGGTATTGCCCGTCAGCGATTAGGGAGAAAAGAGAGCTCGCCTCTTTCTGGATGACAATAAAATTAGTTTGGTTTCCGATCTTCATACCCAGACAGACCCGGGAGAAAGATGTGTTCCAGTAGGTCTGTAATTTGGTTTCTTGTAAGTCAAAGCCAGTCTTGCCTCCTGTGATGTTATGGGTATTTTTGTCGCTCCAGAGGTGAGAGTCATAGTGGAAAGTGCTCTGAAAATGAAAACGAAGAAAAATTAATATTCAGATTTGTTAAAGTAGCTATAGTAGAAACCGAACAGTTTCGGCGGAGCGGTGTGTACCTTTGAGCCATCAATCTTTATGGCCATTGTCCATCCTCCATCTCCGCATCCAAAGTTTCCCATGTGACAGTAAACGGGAATCTTTTGTAAACCAAACGTAAGCGTGTACACTCCACTTGTCATTGATCTCAGAGGGGACAAAAATAAAGAACAATCAGAATTCATTATGATTAAAAAAAAGAAAGCTCAATTGGAAAATTTCCAGTTAAGTTTTCTGCTTCATTTTCAAAGTTCTGAGTGCTATTCTCTTACCCATGTCTCTCAAAAGCTTCCTTGCAAGTGGAAGCTGATAATAAAGACAAAAATAACTGTGTGTCACTGTTAAGTTTACTGTTTGGGTAAATTGTCTCACGGCTGCATTTTATTTATTTAACTTTTTTGTTTCTTTCATTCCGCTTCTCTTAGTAATTTAGAGCACTTTTTGTATTTGTTCGAGTTTTATCGCAAGGTAAAGCTTTTTTTCCAGGCTTAAACAATAATTATTTGTAGCAAAAGTTATCAGCAAGACATCTATGGAAGTTTTTCATCGATAAACATAAACAGAAGGCTTGTATGTGTTGCCGTTGTCTCAACAGAAACATTATAAGAAACAACTTTAAGGAATATCGAAAGAAAATTATTACCCGTGTTGCATACATTTCCATCTCCATTGTATCCAGGTTTGCATGTACATCTGTAAGATCCCTTGGTGTTATTGCACACGGCATCAGCATTGCATGTGTATGTTCCGTAAGCGCACTCGTCAATGTCTGTGAGATTTAACTCAAAAGATTTAGTAGGGAAAACCCCAAAGCACATTTAATGGCTGAGATATTTGTTTCACCAAGTTTCCACTCACTTTTTATTCAGTAAAGAATATCGGAGCTTTTGGTCATGTTTACCTTTGCAAACTTACCTGTACAGTTGTACGATACCCTGGAATTAATGCACACAGCATCAGTACTGCAGCTAGACGTTCTGTTAGCACACTCATTGATATGTGTGACATTTACATTGCAACTCAATCAGTTGAAAGGAAAAAATACCTTAGCACGCGACTAATTTGACTATTTATGTTTATTGAACCCTTTTTTTCTTTTTGTTTTCATTCCTTTTTTTATCATTAAGAAAATAATCAAGTTCATCTTTAAAATTGCTTTCGTGTACCTTCTTGGTAAAGAAAAATGATACAATTAAAAAAATAGAGAAAAAGAAATAGAAAGCAAATGAGTTTATCGGTCGAAGCCAGTCCTTTTTTTCTCTTTTCTTTTTTCTCCTGTTTTTGAACCTCTCCTAAATTCCTCCAATGGGGCTCACACAATGATTATGAGTCTAGAAAGGAGGTGCTAACATTTTTACTATACCAGTGACAACGTAGAGAAGCGTTTTACCTTCATCGCAAGTCTGACCCATGAATCCACCGGAACACAAACAGGAATAGCCTTTTTCATCTAAACGTCTTTGACAAGTGGAGTTGTTCTTGCAAGGGTTCTCAACACAAGCACTCTGGAGAATGGGGAAAATACTTTAAACACTCTTTTCCCCTACTTTATAAACCTCCCTCCTCTTGAGATGTGAATTTGTTATAGGAAACGTTCCAAACACAAAAACTCTAAGCACTACATGGAGGTGGGGGACCCAAGTTAAGTTAAGTAATCCACCTAGGTGTTGCCGAAAAATAGCACGTGTTTACATACAATCTTCCAACCCCGGGATCCTGGGGTGAAGTCGCTAAAAGTTGCTCTAAATGCAACATGAACACGACTCCAGTTAGCCGGGTTACCGTACCTGTAACCCGGCTTGCATCCCTGACCAATTTCTTCATTTCATGTCTCTCATAAATGAGGCAAACCAGCGAAAAATGATTCAGCAGTCACCGAAATAAAGAGAAATGAGAATGAACGCTATACTTACAATTAAGCGATGGCACATCATCGCGTTTTAGATTTATTAAATCCATTTTGAAATCATTGGTGGTCCCTGTAATCTGATTGGCTCTAATCGGTGCGATTTATTTACGAATGGCACCATGTTTTGCTCTCAATCGCATTTTGCGCTTGACTGAGTATTAGACACATGACGTCAGTCTTTCTGTTTTGCATACAAAATAAGATGTAAAAGCGTTTCCGGTTCCACTTATTATTTAAAAACCGCCTCAGTACTGCATCAGTAAAATATTTGAATTGACCAAGTCCTGTATTTGGGCGATTTCAAAATGGATGTAATAAAGTGGTAATTGAACCTCGTGTCGTGCAATTTTGGTCGTGCAATTTTCCGCTTCAGGATAATCTACCTGAAGCGGAAGAAGACTTTGAAACTTAAAGGAAAATTATATGATATAGCCAGAAGTCGTGTGCTGAGGAATTTTAAGATGACCCCGGGAGGCTGTCTTTGACAGCTGTTTAATGACTTTTTTAGCATTAAACGTCTGTAAACATCGGATCGTAGGCGCTCGCGCGAGCACACGCAAATGTCAGCGGTAGCTATGACAGATCATGAGCAAATGCCGATCTTATAGAATCCAGATTTTTAAATGCGCGAGAACGCGCGTGGAAATTGCTGAACTCACGAAAGTTCTTGCATGAAAACAAGTCCGGCGACCCCTTCTTTTTATTGTTCCAATATGATAATAACGTCTAAAGGAATCATCAGAAAAAAAAAAAACAAAAACAAACTAGAAAATTATACGAAAGCAAATTTGCTAGATTTTCTGAAATTCCGCTCCGTATGATTTTTTGAAAATCTTTGTGCATTTTCCTTTTCAAGTGCCAAGAGCAATCACTGAAAAAAATCACAGGGTCACCCGGTTAGTTTTTGAATTATTTAAGCCACAAGCCAGAAAATGTGTCTGAATGAGCCTATGAAAGCGTTGCCATGGAAACTGCTTGTGACGAAATTACACCTATTTTTGGATCATCAATGATTATATAATTCAAATTCGTAAAAGTGTTGAACTGGCCTTGGTCAGTATTTCTGTCTTATTCTTTCAAAGTTACAAACCATCAAAAAGATGAAAACCGGTACGAGCCACCTTAACACTTGGCCTCACAAATTCCTTTCAGGTAACCTAAGTGATGTGATTAAGCTGTCATTTTCAGTTGATCATAAAAGTAACTTCCAACCTTAAAGTAATAGTGATGCGAGCTCTTGTTTTCTTTGTATTCATTGGGGTTGCTGTCCTTATCAGACGACAGTAACTCACACCACAGTCCTCCCTCAGCGGCCAGGTTCACGGAGACACACAGAGGATGGCGAAGGCATTTCAATGTGCACTCAAAGTCGTCGTATACCACAGTTTCTTCAATGTGAGTAACATTCAGATAATGGAAGTTATCCATGGTAAGCAGACTCTGCCTAGACATCTGTGATGAAGTTACTGGTATATCGCCGGGGTCTAAGTTGAGCGCTACTGTGGGTTGAGAGTAAACGAACCTTTATTCTATTTTTGACAAAATGGTTTTTGGTAAAACAACTCTTACATCTAAAAACAGAAACTGATGTTCTTTGATACTTACTCAGGGGCATAGAATAAGAATGCATGGTTTTAGTGTATTTGCATTTGTCGTTAATAACTGTGGTGATTAACAGTCATTTTGACCGACACTGAATAGCTACAAAAAAGATACTAGTTTTGCCAAAAATCAAAGTAAAGGGAGTGAGAATAAATTGATTGATGAATCCAAATGAATTTTTCCAGAAAATAACATTATAAGAGAATCAAGACGAGTAACTGGTGTAAATAAAGATAAGGAATTGATTTCATGACGCAGTTTTTATACCATCAACTCTTGACAAAAAAACGACTTCCTGCATCTTTTTAAGCGATCAGTTGTCGCCTGTCAACTTATTATTTTTTGGTTTCTTTAAGCTCTTTGTTTGTCTTGCAGTCAACAGACTGCATTGCCACTAGTGGGGGACTTCGGTGATGCATCTGCTGATCATATTCAGAGACAAATGCGTAATATTGTCTCAATTACGACGTGTCGCAAACTCGCCAGTTAATACTAGCGAAAAAATTCCTTTTTTCACCGTTAGTACATTCAAGTAGGAAATTCAAATTAACAAATGCTGCTTTTGATCAGCCAGAGCATAAGCTCTAAATTTAAAAAAGTGGAAGGAATTGCGAAGTTTTAAAAGTAAATAGTGAATGACAGATCAAGCCAGCTAGTGTGGCTGCCTGGCAGTGGCACGTTTTAAATTTCAGCTCACTTTAAGGCCACGATACCAAATTTGTTAGGCCATGGTAGGGAGAGGCTGAGCTAACAATTTTCGCAGAATTATCACAAGAACTATAACAATGAGTTTTTGCAGACGTCATGTAAGGCAGACGAGCTCTTTTGGAGGTTTTCTCTTTAAATGTTTATTCTTTTTTCTTTTACAGCCGAATATATCTAAGTTCCATACCAAGCATGAGTTTTTTTTTTCTACGCTCCGTGGAAACTATTGACTATTTGTCGGAAGAAAAGTTGCCGACTACATGTACCATACTATAACTATAACTATAACTCAATGATGAAAACTTAATTCAGAAGACCATAGTAATCTTTTACACAAAAGAATGCGTAAATACGCGAATTCACTCGCCTGTGGCTCGTGAGATCACAACATTTTGACCTCAGTGATGACGAATATCGTTTTCGATAAGAGAGTATAGACCACTCTATACCACTGTGGAATTGACACTCATACATTTACTCAAACATTTATCCACCCGAATTTTAATCATTTAAGCAGTTTGGAGAAGTTTAAGGAAGCAATATGCTGCCTTTAAATAAAATACCATTTAAAAGAATAAGAAAAAAAGAGTAAATCATCCTTTGACCCTAAGAGAGACTTGCATGTAGTTTTTCCTTACAATACGGCTACCCCTGAATCAAACATTAAGCAAAAGAGAAAAAAGGAAATGATCACCAAATTGAGAAGCTCTTGACTTTGAAATAAATTCTCCTGGTCAGTACAGTTAGGAAATAAATAGGGAACAGCATGGGGTATATGCATACTGATGTTAGAGTGTAAGAGGTTAAGAGGCTGTCCAAATAAGAACCGACCACTCGAATTTCGGCCGATCACAGAATTCCCTCAGATTTTTACTGTGGGATATTTGATCTATTCTATCAGAAAAAATTGTACTTATTTGGTTCGTAATGCCATTTTATCAAATTTTTGGCAACGAGATGTGTGGAGGGTCAAAAACGAAGAAAATTGTTTATCTCAGCATTAATTTTCAGCGTTTCGCCGGAGGCTCTAAAAACTTACCCATTTGTTAAAATAGCATAAATCGGACATGTACTACTAGTTAACATCTTTTCTGTTGATTAATAGCAAAATATATAAGTTCTGACCAAACAGTTAAGATTTACGTTGTTTTGAAAGTATCACACAAACAGCACTTTCCGAATTTGAGCGAGAGTGCTGTTGTTCCAAGACGCTTTTCTCAAAAGTATAACGGATTCTGGAGTCCTCACCATTATCCATGTTTAGTGCTAGGGCTGGTGTACCGAAAACAACAAAAAAATTTTTAGCAACTAGCCTTTTCGAGCTACAGGAGCTCGATGAACTTTACTAATTTACGACGGTCAAAGTGCATAAGACTTAATTTATGCTTATTTGTGGTGACTCTATTTCTTGCTCAAAATCAATATTTGAGGCAGTGGCTATTTTCAAACCTAGCATGGTTGTTTTTTTAAGGTGAGGATGTCCATAAATCCATCCAAACTTGCCCCAAATCTAACAATTACGAAGGTACAAATGAACATCTTCCGTGTGACATTACGTTTAACTGTCTCATGCAGGCACGTTGACAAAATTCCAAAACCGAAAAACTGACGGAAAAAGGCAGCAAAACCGAAAACCGCATGCAAACCTGACAAAACCTACTACATTTTCACCTTTAAGCCTGGTTCACATATAATCGCAGACGATCGCTGAAACCACTCAACAGAAGATTGCGAATCGCATGTTCACATAGTATGATCGCAGCCGATCGCAGCGATCTGTTACAACCGAGTCCATGGTTTACCATTCAGCGGCAATACAATGTAACTCCAGTCAACCAACATAAACGCGAAGGACGCTGAAATTTTAATAGGTGTTAACATTTTGCTTCTGTTGTCTTTACTTAAACGAAGAATCGCTGCCAAATCAAAGAAGAAACGTTGCTTCTTGGTGCAGAAAGTCTTAAGAAAGAGAGAATGCTTTGCTAAAGCGATTGAACAAACAATCGTATTTTATAATTTCTTCCATAAACTGTTCCGTGTCAAGTTCACTTTCCATCTTGTCAAAGCACACGCACGTATAAAAGTTGAGACAGTTAGACGTAATGTCACACGGAAGATCTTCATTTGTACCTTCGTAACTGCTAAATTTGGGGCAAGTTTGGATGAATTTATGGACATCCTTATGGACATCTTCACCTTAACAAAACAACCGTGCAAGGTTTGAAAATAGGCACTGCCTCAAACATTGATTTTGAGCGAGAAATAGAGTAAGCACAAATATGCATAAATAAAGTCTTATGCAGTTTGACCGTTGAAAATTAGAAATTAGTAAAGTCCATGGAGCTCCTGTTGGTCGAAAAGACTAGTTGCCAAAAATGTTTTTCAGTGTTGTTTTCGGTACACCAGCCCTGGCACTACACACGGATAGTGGTGAGTACTCCAGATCCCGTTATACTTTTAAGAAAAGCGTCTTGGAACAACAGCACACTCCCTCAAATTCGGAAAGTGCTGTTTGTGTGATATTTTCAAAACAACGTAATTCTTAACAATTTGGTCAGAATTTACATATTTAAACTATTAATCAACAGAAGAGATGTTAGATAGCAGTACATATCCGATTTATGCTACTTGAACAAATGCGCAAGTTGTTAGAGCCTCCAGCGAAACGCTGAATATTAATGCTGAAATAAACAATTTCTTTGTTTTTGACCTTCCTCAGATCTCGTTGCCAAAAATTTGATAAAATAACATTAAAAACCAAATAATTTTTGTCGATAGAACAGATCAAATATCTCACATTAAAAATTTGGGGGAATTCTGTGATCGGCCGAAATTCGAGTGGTAGGTTCTTAGGCGGACAGCCTCTTAAACACCTTGCAGGTGTTAAAAGGTCGCCATGATTAAGAACGATCATCTTTCCTTAACTATCCCTTCTCCTAATTGATTTATGGCGAGGCTAACCTTGCGAGGAGACAGAAGCAGACATCATGAAGCACTGAGGTAACACAGCAAAAATAAAAATCGAATTCTTCATGGCGCGAACCCTTGCAAAGCTGACTTCCCGGAAGATGTCCAATTTCATGCGAAAATGTAATATTTAAAATTTTCGTAGTGATTAAAACTTCCTGACTGTCTCTTAACCAATGAAACCTTAGTGTTACCTCATTTTTCTTTTTTTCAATATTATGATGTATTTTGACACTCTTGACGTTATGTCAGCAAGCCATGTCGGTATTCAATTTATTTGTGCGAATAAGTTTTTCGTTGTGTCAATAGATAAACAATAGAACTGAAAAGGCAGCAGCAAAGTCTGAAAATCTATTTCTATAGATTTAGCGAGAGGCAAAGGGAAATGGATGCTTCTGATGATAGACTTGCCTTTAATTTGTAAAAAACCGATTTTGCCCCTATTGGGCTTAGAATCGATTTCAGACTCGAACTACATTTGCTGAAAAGTGGAACACCTGGCACATTCTACGACAACTCATTATGAACTTTTGTTTAATCAAGTAACCGGCATAGCGAAAATTATGTTATCAAACTAATATCCTAGAAGAGTTGGAGGTGTTGCAGGTGAATTTACGCATTTAACTGCCGTTTTTCTGACGGAGAGAGAGAGGGAGAGAGAGAGGGAGGCAGAGGGGGAGGGAGAGAGAGAGAGAGAGAAAGAGAGAGAGAGAGAGAGAGAGAGAGAGCCATAGGAACGAGCACTTTTGTAACGAAAAAAGGGAACTTTTGTAACAGTTTGGTAGGGAACTTTTGTAACGATAGGGCACTTCGGGCACTTTTGTAACGAAAATAGGGAACTATTGTAACGATAATTTTTTTTTTTTTAATCTGTGCTTATTCTTAATAAACATCTGAGTTAAACTACACTCTCTCAGCAGTTGACAAATTAACTTTGAACTAAAAATACCAAGTGACAGATCCAACCGACAGTAAGTCAGCTTCTCAATTGATTCAGTTCGCATTTATCTTGGCTTTTAATATGCTCTTCAATTTCTATCCACCTAACCTATTAGAAATAAAACCAAAACAAGCCTGAAAAGTCGGCTCGTACTGGTTTGTCTTCGTAACTACCGGACACCATTTGCGTAAGTAAAGAGAATTTACTCTCAAATCTTTACAACAACAACATAGGAAACTGAATGGAATTATGACATTTCCGACGTTACACTGGAATTACTGATTACTGCTTTCAATTACGTTTTCTAAAAATGCTTTATAGCACTTGGAAATTAGTAAAATCTCAAATATCAAAACGATATCTCAATAAACTTCATAAAACGAGCTATAAACCCTAACCTTCTTGAATTTTTCCTCCTTTTCAAGGATAACAATATGTTGAGAACGATGGAAACTCCTTTGACTATTTAAGTCTTGAATAACCTTAACTGAACAGTAGCCTTGTAAAGTTGACAACAGCAAAAATATCAATGTCTATCACGCCGGGAAGCTGACTTAAATCAATGTCAACTTACGCAGACCTGAGAACTTAACTTGTTTTTTAACATTAAGAAGGTCTGACTAAAACGTCCCACTGCTTATACACTTCTCTTTAGATCCCATGTCAGTGTCGGGAATGTAATCAGTGCAATTATTGAAAAGGGTAACTTTAGGCCCCATGGCTTGCTGCGATATGCTGTGTAAATGTCTCTCGTATTTTATACGATTGATGATAGTATCTGAGATATCGGATTCCCAGACGGAAATCATGTAAAACAGTTGTAATAGTTTTAGTTTTTACCTTTAGCTTAACTGATGATTCTCTGTGTATACATAAAGTTCACATCACATCCAAGGGAGCTTTGGCAAGCAGCTCCTTTCCCCAGGCTTCCCTTTCAAGGGTTTCCTTGATTTTCTGCTTTACAATTGGGGATGATTTTTTTATCATGAAGGCGAACTGAGCTCGTACGCGTTGAAGGTTGTACTCTGAAAATACACCCCTTACGCTACTTCCATGCAAAGTTGGTGGTATTTTGTCACTTGAATTGTCGCTCTCATGAGTCAGCGATCTCTCTACACGTTGTTCAAGAGTTTCTTCTTCAAAAGGAGGATTTACAGGTTGTACTGTTCAGACCGAGGGAGGCGTTCTGAAACGCCACTGCGCCCTTATCTTGTCCAAAATTCTCTTTGGGCCTTCCTTCATCAGCTATGGATGGTCGGAAATTTTGGATTCTACATCTTCCATCGAAAAGGCTTCGCTTTCGATTTCATCTTTGCAGACACTCTTCACTAAATCTTCTATTTCTTTGTTCCATGAGGCTCTTGACGTTTCAGATGCACATTGTTCGGAAACTGATAGGCTGGAGATGGTTGGAGAAACCTCTTGCTCGTCAAGGTTTTGTTGACATTGCCCACGCATTACACTGCGTGGGTGCTTTGAAGCCTTAACTGAGGACTTGGACTCCTCTTGTAAACGATAACATTTGCGCGCTGTCTCGATGTTGTGGGCCATTAAATCGGCAAGATTTCCTCGTGCTTCATTGCTTTGGCAGGTTGTGTGAACTTTTGAAACAGCCGACTTCCTAAATAGAGTGGAGCTAGGACTTCCCTCCGACTTCTTCCATACAGATTTTATCGTTTCATTTATCTGACTGGATGCCATGGCTTCTCCTTTCCAAATTAAAAAGACATTCTCGCCAGTACTACCAGTCATGCCGTGAACTTTGGAGCGTACTTCTCAGACAAAAATGTTCATCCAGCTGAGCAATTATGAACCGGGAACAATTCTCGCTGGTCCATGAGTTGAAAGGGTCTTATGATCCTTCACGAAAACAACATTCTCTTCATCCTGCTTGGATGCTCTGTTTAGTTCTCCCAATTTCATATTGGCAAGAGCGCCAGCCCGATTAGGATTGTCGATTGATATCTTAACCAAAAAAAAGTCTTGGATGAGAGTGTACTGACTTTGGCTGATTTCCACTGAACGTGCACCTGCTAACTGACCCAGTAGGCATATGGTATCTCTGGCATCTTGACTTCTCTGAAACTTTTCAATTTCTTCTGGGGAGATTAAAGCATGGAGATCCACTTCCATCTTTTCCCAATGTCGTTTCGAGCAGCCCTTGCGCAAAGACGTAGGCCATCGTGTAACCTTCTCATTTAAAGATAGAAATCTCTCTGGAGAGATGTCTATGTCAAGAGTCTCACTTAGACAGAAGGAATAGAAATGGCGGAGACTCATCAGACAAGACTTTGTAGTTTTGGGATGGTATTCTCTCTTAGCAAATTCTTCTAAGAATTTCTCCATGACGATTTTTTCATTGAACAGAGAAGCCAATTCGTGCTTTCTGTCGATTACCTTTAAGAGCTTAGATATTTGTGCTCGATGCTGCTTACTTGTCTTCTCGTCCAAGTTTCCTCCATCTGCAGATTTCAGCTGGGTTTCAAATTGAAGGACAAATGTGGGTACGACTGTGTCTGAAGACTGAACTGATCATACAACATTCACTCCATCCACCCACGTATAAAGCGCTTTACTTCTTATATATACGTATAGATGCTGTTAGGATGCGTTTGTTATGGTTGTCGATTATCTGTTTCGTGTTGTTCATGCAGCTGTAACTGATTTTGATGGTGATTCGGTTAAAGATTTTTCTGAGCTTGTGATCCTTGGGAAAGTGCTTGTCTACTAGGGCGAGGAATTTGTGTCCGATGTTGGTGCTGGTGTTCTTGCTAAAAGGAGGGTTGTACCAGAGGATGTTATTGCGTTGTCGGTTTTTCCGTTTGCTTGTTTTGGCTGGTTCGTACTTTAGGGTGTAGTGGTATCCACTTTCGTCGAGTGCTTTCTGGTATGGGGG